CACTTTCATTCATTCACTAATTCACTTTCTCTCTCATTCATTCATTTATTCACTAATTAACGTTCTCTTTCATTCATTTACTGACTTTCTCTCTCATTCATTACTTCATTAATTTATTAGCTAATTCACTTTCTGTTTCATTCATTCACTCATTCATTCATTAATTTACTTGCTCTCTTCACTCACTGAATCACTCGTTCATTCACTTACTCTCTCTTTCAATCACTTGCTCTCTTGTTCATTCACCTACTCTTTTAATTCACTCACTCTCTCGTTCATTCACTTAATCTCTCATTCCTTAATTTACTTTCTTCATTCATTCATTCACTTTCTCTCTTCATTCACTCATTCACTTAATCTCTGTTTCATTCATTTTCTCATTCATTCACTTTCTCATTCATTTACCTACTCTCTTCATTACTCTTTCACTTACTCTCTCATTCATTAATTTATTATCTTCATTCACTTATCCACTTAATCTCTCGTTCATTCATTTACTATGTTCATTCACTTAACCAATTTATTTCTCATTCACTTAATCCTTCGTTCATTCACTTATTCATTCACCTACTCTATAAATTAATTTATCTACTTGATTTCTCATTTATTCACTCCTATTCACTTTCTCTCTTCACTCACTCAATCACCTACTTTCTCATTCATTCACTCTTTCACTTACACTCGTTTATTCGCTCTTTCATTCATTCACTTACTGTCTCTTACATTCACTTTCCCATTCATTCACTTGGATTCTTTAAAATTCTCTTACTCTCTTCATTCATTCTCTCTCGTTTATTCACTTACTATTTCCTTCATTCATTTTCTCATTCATTCCCTCATTCACTTACTCTCTCATCCACTCACTCACTCACTCTCTCGTTCATTCACTTACTCTCTCATTTACTCACTCACTCATTCACTCGGCGAAGATGCTCTGTCACACCTCGACTGGCATGGCGGGCGTCTTTCCACCTCTGCCCAAGACGACTCGCAGAGAACCGAGCACCTGCGCGCGGCCCTTCTTGATGCCGTTGGAATGTGCTCGACTAGCCCTTTTAGAGAAATTGTTTGACCTTGTTTTCGCAACTTATTGGTAGGAAGACTTATAGAAACGCACCTTGTCCCGAGTCCATTGTATGCATAATTATTTCCAAAGTC